GCTGCTGCCAATATTCCTCCTCCTTCCTCTCTGTCAAAATTCTGTCCTGCGTTTCTCCCCTAGAACATTCTCTCTAATAACTTCAGTGCATGTTCTTTCCTTGAATTTTACTTACTGCATTAGCAGGGGGCTGATTTTGAATTTATTGCCTTTTCTTTGTGTTCTTGTTCATAAAATGGTAGAATATTCACTCAGTTTTCTATTTCCTTTTAATTCCTTTAATTTTGTCACGAATTTTATGTCAGTAACATATACCCTATTCTTTAGAGGATAATTATGTAGTAGCATTCTGAAGATTGTTATCCTGTCTCCTTCCTGTGTCTTCAGTGTTGATGAATATTGGTATTACTTTTAAATGCAGTGGTTGAACTTCAGAGAGTAGAAAGTTGGTTTTGTTTTTTTTTTCCATTTTGACTTCCACAAATGTAAATTTCTCCATGTTAGTTTTTCTGTACACCAGAATTTAGTGTCGCTTGTTTCATTTGAGCAATTGGTGAGTCTGAAGACCTGGAAAAGTTTTTCATTGCATTTTAGGTAGGAAGATAAGTAAGATTTGTTCTTGACTTTCCAGATTTGTGAAAAGTTACAAGTCTCTTTCGGTCTCTGGTATGAAGGGTGCAGGTTCTATTTCCAGACTGTATGACTGATTCATGTATGAAAAATTCAAAAAAATGAATTTTTAAGGCAGTATCTTGTAAGAAGATGTCTGAGTGGGGGTTGCCCTATCATAATTGATATAAAACAGGTAATGCAGAATGGAACATGACTAGGTGAATCGCTGACATGCAATTATGGAAGGCAGGGTCTGGTACCTAGAGCTCCTTTTGAGAGAAGCTTTTTAAAATCTGTGTGAGAATTTGATGGAAATAAAGTGGTGGCTTGATTGGAGGGGGGGTGTCCTGCCATCTTTCCGGAACTTGGAGTGATTGACATACGTAACTGAAAAATGAACCCGATTTTCTGTTGAGTCGTACCTATAAACTTACGTATTTTTCTTTGGGATCTGTCTTGCCGACGTGTGAACATGTTGATAATATCGCCGAATGTCACAATATTGATCACCGTGACTACCTGTCTCAGAAACTGTGACTTGAAGTGTTACAGGCTCTGTGAACTCTTTTGCCTGAACAAGCCCTGATAAAACCTAGTGAGGTGAATGTCAAGGGAATCTGAGGCTTGGAATTACATGCTGGGTTTATGGAGCAGTTCCTTACAGATGGATTGATTGGAGGGGGCGGTACTAGCCATTCCGGACACCAGGCCCATTGGCCTGTTGTTATAGAAAACATATTAAGGAAAGAAGATGATACGTTACTGGCTTTTTCTCCCTCCCCTCTGCCTTCATTCTCTACAGCTCTTCCTTTCTCATCTCCTCTCCCTGCCCCCTTTTCTTTTTAACTTTCATTAACTTATTAGTCAGTGACAAATGGCCAGTTTGTGACACTTAGCCCTTTCTCAAAGCTTCAGGTTAATGTTCCAGGATAATTAGCTACATTTCAAGGTCTCCTTTATATGTGACTAACATTGAAAATACCAAATTGTTTACTTCGTATAACCTTCATTTAATGGCCAGTATTTGTTTAAAACACATAATAATAAAAGTATAGGCTCACTTCCTGTGGAAGTGAGAGGATACTTAAGAACTTTGCTTGATAGCACGTAGCTAAAATTTATGAAATTTGATAGCTGTATTCTCTGACTGCCGCGTATAACTGGTACTGATCCAGATCAGGCTCCTGCTGGAGTTAATGACTGGAGTGTTTGCCGGAGCTGCAGGACTAAGCTCTAGAGCAAGACTGGGCTGTGGAACTTAGGAAAGCCAGCGGAAAGGTGCATGGCAGCTCCTTTATCAGCCTGCCCTTGAAAGAGTGTTCAGGGCTTCTGTACGCCTAAGGTGTGCCTCCACTGCAGCGCTCCCCTAACTTCACATCCTTTGTTTTCAAGACACAGTGATATTTAAGTGACAGAGGCATCAATGCTTCCCTTAGACCTTGATTTTTTAAAAAAATTTTCATAGACTTGCACAACTACAAGCTTGGCATTCTTCTAATGGGAACACAGGAGGACAGGGGCAATGTATTTCTGAGCGGCACTCGGAAACATACCAGAGTCTTCTTTCAAAGAAAATTTTACCCAGCTCGTATGATCTGACCCTGTCCCATCTGCGCAGCTTTCTTCTCTTTCCTTTTTTTTCCTTCTCTCAAAGACTAATGCAGGTTTGCAAGTATTTTGATCCCGGTGCCTCCCCACAGGTTCCACAGGCTTTGTTTCAGGCCCTGGGGGAGGAACAGTTGTGAATGCAGTGTGACTCACTGACTCCCACTTTGCTGATTCTGGTTCTGATTGGTCGTCACCTCGTTCTAGCCATATGGCTGCAGAGTACTCTAGCCTGCATCCCTTCCTCGTTCTTTCCCCTACTCTTCCCTTCTGTTGTACACGACGCTGGGAGTGGGTTCCGGGCTTTGTCTCTTGCTTCTAGTTTACCCCAGTTAGGTAGTAAGTAGGAGAGCACGCTGTATTTCCCGGGGATGGCTGTAGAGGAAAAAAAATACCTTTCCTTTTGTGCCTGGTAGAGTAATTACTTCGTTTCCTGTGCTGTTTTTGTTCAAAGTTTATTTTTTGGCAGGTGTCACATTTGTGTTCTATTATTTCCTCATGGTTTCTCTCCTCCCCCTGATTTGAGCTGGGGTTTTTTGTAGAGGTTCTTGGAGTCCCTTTCTTGGGCTACTGATGCTACACTTCAGCTAGTTCGTTACTACGTTTGTTTAGTGCTGGTTATATCTTAGGGAGGAGAACTGAAAGCAGCGCTAAATAGTGATTTAATTGTTAAATGTCTTACTGTTCTGAAGTCAACAAGCAAAAAAATCTACCTGTGATACGATCCTCAAAATTATCTGTAGCACTGCCGCTACTTGCCCTTCTCCCGAACTGTATCAGTTCAATTACTCTGTCTTTTTATACTTGAGAAATAGGATTTTGAAGACTTGAAAGTTAATTTTTTATAAGAATTTGATATTTTTATTAATCTGCATTTTTTATTATTCTACAGTTGGTTTCTGCAAAGACTTTGGACTCTGCACCTTTTTTTCTTTTCTTTGTAAAATTTACTCAAAGAGGCAGTGCTAGCAGAGTATAAAGTTTAGCAGACTTCCCCCCGCCCCCTTGGCCTTTATAGGATATTTTCATTGCCTAAAAAGAATCAATAAAAACATAAAAAATTCTCTCAACAATATATTTCATATTGACTTAAAGTTTTTAAAAATCCATTTTATAAATATTTTAATATTTAAATATGTTAAGCAAGTAACCTTACAAGTTTGGATTCTTTAGAGGATATGTGCAATGAAGTTGGTTAGAATCATAAGGGGGGGGTTTGAAATCAGCCTGGCCATATGGTTTCACTTAACCCTTTATTTAAAGATCTTCATTTACTTCTTTTTCTTCATTCATGATATGTATTAGAACATGGCAGTCTATTTTTATCAGAAATAACAAACCTCAGCTGGTGAACTCACTTGAAAGTATATACTTGCTTATACTTGCTTCTAGCCATTAGGCCAAGAGAGGCAGCCCAAGTCTGGCCCCAAATGGTTTTATATGACATGTTCTCTGAGTCATTTGCTAGTCTCCGATCCCCATCACTTTACACATCATGCGAAGAGACATTTACTTAGCTTACATACTTCCAGCCCTGAGTATAACTGTGGACAAAATAGGTCCTTGCCCTCATGGAGCTTAGCTCCTTTTTTTTTTTTAAGATTTTATTTATTTACTTGACAGAGCGAGACACAGTGAGAGAGGGAACACAAGCAGGGGGAGCGGGAGAGGGAGAAGCAGGCTTCCCGCCGAGCAGGGAGCCCGATGTGGGACTCGATCCCAGCACCCTGGGATCATGACCTGAGCCGAAGGCAGACGCTTAAGAACTGAGCCACCCAGGTGCCCCTGGAGCTTACATTCTGTTGAAATATATTATAGTAAGAAAGTATCCAAATACGCATTTTTCTTGGATTTGAATAAGATCTAGAATATTCAAGAAACTTTAGTTTTTATATTTTTATCCCATGTAACTAAATCCCTCCTCTGCCTAAACAAATGTACATGTTTCTGCAGATCCTATCCCATCAAAGAGGTCCTGCTCATGAGTTACACATTTGAGTAATTCAGAACGAGTATTGTTTGTATGACATATTTCTGAGATCAAGGTTTCTCTGTTTAAAAGTCTGTTTAGGGGCACCTGGGTGGCTCAGTTGGTTAAGTGACTGCCTTCGGCTCAGGTCATGGTTCCAGAGTCCTGGGATCGACCCCGCATCAGGCTCCCTGCTCGGCGGGAAGCCTGCTTCTCCCTCTCCCACTCCTCCTGCTTGTGTTCCCTCTCGCTCTGTTAAATAAATAAAATAAAATCTTTTTTAAAAAAAAAGTCTGTTTAATATTTGAAACTGATAAATGATGTTTGTGTGAATAACAAAAATTAATATGGCCACTGTCTGTGTTATCAGATAGAAAAAGTAAAACTACCAACAATGCGCCAGGCACAGTTGAGTACTTTACGTCCAGCAGCTTGTTTGGTACTCATTAGAACCCTAAGGGTATTGTTAATCACCTCATTTTACGGAACAGGAAATTGAGACACAGATAGGTTAAGTAACTTGCCGAACATCAGAGAGCTGGTAAGTAGCAAAACTGAAATCTGTGTCTCCAGAGTCACGTCCTCACAGCTACGCTGTGTTACCCTGCCAGCCTAGCACACCCAGCTAATAATGGAGCTGAAATCTGAGCTCTGCTGTGGGATCTCCATTATCTTTTCTTCTCTGTGTGGCTCAGTTTCCCTTGACATATAAAGTGTGTCTTATGCTCTTGGTTTCTCCTCATGCGTTGCATGTGTCAGTTTCAGATGTCACAGGTTTTAGATGAAGCTGGTTATGGAAAGATGTCAGAGGTATAGTTGCTGCTGATAAACAATGTTCTGATAGATGTTCTTTCTTTTTGTCTTCATGGGGTAGAAAAGGGTAGTTGAACAGCTACGGAAGAACCTGATAGTAAAGCAGGAACAACCGGACAAGTTCCAAATACAGCCGTTGCCACAGTCTGAAAACAAACTGCAAACAGCACAGCAGCAGCCACTCCAGCAGCTACAGCAGCAGCACCACCACGCCCAGTCGGCGGCCCCCTCTCCCAGCCTGACCGCTTCACAGGTACACGCACCGAGCGGGCCCTGCGGGCCTCCTGCTGTCGGCTGCTTTAGCATTGGTCACGTAGAGCTGGGGCCTGTTTCGGACCATGCTAAGCTCAGCCAGCACCAGACAGAAGTTCCTTTGGCTACTTCTTTATACTATACACTGGGGTAAAAATCCCTTGAAATGCGTTGGCAGAAGGAAATGGTATTACTGAGGAGCAAAAATTAAGATTTCCCACCTGTCCAAAGAAGAGGGGAAAGGTAGACAGTGACAAAGAAAAAAATCACTTCTCTGTGTAGGAACAGAACTAAGGTCGTATTTTGAATTGCTGGAAGTATTTCTTTGCACTTGTTCTAAAAGTCTGTGTGACTCTGCCTTCTCTGGAATTGTTTTGCTGGAACTCTTAGCAGTTAGGTGTGGAGATATTCCAGGAGTGGGACCCTTGGAAACAGGTAGAAAGGCATTCAGAAGAAGGGTGATATGTTTCCATTATTCAGAGCATATGAATTTGTTCTCATATATTGGAGGAAATCTGAAACGGAAGCTACAGGTCCAAACTAGAACTAGGAACTGGAGGCTTAATAACATTGTAACTTGGTATAGCTGTGCAGATGTTTTTGCTGAAAGGGGCACTTAAACTAGCATATAAGGATAGTAAGGCAAGATACACAAAAAGGACATATTTGGGAATAATGTTCAGTTAAAACTATTCAATGAAAATGTTTTTGACATTTTGAATGGTTAAAAATATTTCATAGTATTTATATTATTTTGTATGAAAATTATATGAAAGTCCAATTTCAACATCTATAAATCACATGTTACTGGAACACACACACACACACACACACAAAAGAAAACTATTCAGACTTGATCTCCACACACCTGCCTGTAATGTGGGCATACCTTTTAAAATGGGATGGTTGAGCAGTGGTTCCTGATTCTTAGGGATCACGAGCCCTATAAGACTCTGGCGAAGGCTGTGGATCCTCTCCCCAGAATAATACACATTCACACCTGATAACACTCATTTTTGCACATGATTTCAAGGACATTGGGATCTTCTGAAACTCAAGCATGGGCATCCTTTATGCACCAATACCAGGTCTTCACTATATACATAGAGAAAAAGATTATAGTTTACTTGGTTATTCACTCTTTATGGACATTGGGCTGGTTCATATAGAACATTTTTCAAGTGAAGAATACATTACTTGTAAAAATACTAAAGGTTACTAAAGATAGTTGACATTTAGTCACAGTTACTGTATACTGTTATTCTCCTGAGCGCTTTACATATAATATACACAGCCCTTATCCCAACGCTAACAAGGAAGGTGATATTATTATTATTATTATTATTATTATTATTATTATTCTGTTTTTTAGAAAAGAAAACTAAGGCACAGCGAGATTAAGTAATTATCGAAAATTGTATGGGTAGTATGTGTGGTAGAACCGAAATTTGAACCCAGATGTTCTGGTGAAAAAGTCTGTCCATTCAGTGCTCTTCTGTACTGCCATACAATACCAAAAAAAGAAATGCCAACATTATATAAAATGCCAAAGTAGGAAAAAGAGTAATTCCTGTTGTAAGTCAGATAGCTGGAGCATAAATTTTATCATAATCTCCACTCCTAGGCTCTTTGAAAATTAAGCATTCAAACTGACTTTTAAAACCCCCTGACCAGGACTTGTATTTCTTCTGAAGGATTGCTTATCAGATTACTATTGTTGGAGTTGATTCGTTGGTTCTCTTTGCAAAGTACAGTTTGATCAGAAAGTGTTTACGGGGAAGGAGTGTGGTAGAATTCCTTGTTTCCTGGTATGTACGAGTTTTCTCTCTTAATCCATGGAAACTTACTGTTCAAGTAACATTCCGTGTCCCACAAATCAGAGGAAATACTTATATAATACTTTAATACCTCTTCCTTCCCTAGTAATCTGAGTTCTGTCCTGCTTTGGGAAGGTGAATGATGGTGAGGCGAAGGGCTATCCCCAAAACAGTGTTGTGTGGCATCTCTCCACCTGGTAGCCCACCTGATATATTTAGTTGATTTAGCTTAGCTTGTTTTATACTATTCTGTTTTGTTAAATGCAGATGTATAATTTTAAAAGCCAGAGACCCTCTGAGTTTTTTATTTCTGTCTTGACGGTAAACTGTCAATCAGTATTTACTGGGTGTTCTTGGTGTGTTAGATTCTGGTATACAAAGAGGTAGTTATGGTCCCTGCCTCAAATCTGGTATATTATCATTTTCATCCATTCTGTAAATATTTATTGGGTCTCTATTATATGCAAACACTGTGCTAAGCAGTGAAGAAGGTAGATTCACAAATAAGACAGAATTTAAAAATTTAGAGAAGAAGAGGAAAATGTAAACTGCCAACAAAGAAAAATAAAATGAAAGTACCAGTGAAGAGCTGTGAAAAGGCCAGAGGACAGAGTAATTTTAACTAGAGGGATCAGAGGTGCTTCATGAATGAGGTGACACTTGAGCAGGATGTGGACAGATCAGTGAGATTTTAGTGATAGAGCAGAGGGGAAGAGCATCACAGATGTAGAGAACTGTGTGAACTAAAGTATGGAGTCACAAAAGTAAATGCGTGTCCTAGGAATAGCAGAGAGACTGATGTGGCTGTAGTGTGGATTCTGGGCAATAATGGAGAGGGAGATAAAGCCAGAGGCAGAAAGAAGCTAGCTTGTAGAAGCCCTCCAATGCATGGCAGAACCGTTGGAGTTTTGGGCAGTCAGTGGGAGTCATTAAAGGTCCATGAGGTCAGGGACAAATGGGAAGTTGTATATGGCATATATTAAATATCTAAGTTCGGAAAGGAATAACTATTAAGTAGTAATCAGCACGGGCAAACAGGAGGTGCTTGGAAGAGAAAATGTTTTATTCGAAGTCAGGTGGCTAGCAAGGACCAAGGCATAGCAAGTGGGGGGACCAGTCCCCTTTACTTAGTTAACTCAAATTCATCCTTGTAGGTAGATTGTGAAATTTTTTCAATTTACAAGAAAAAAAATGAAAGACGAGAAGAGTTGAATGCAGGTATACCCTTCAAATTATATTCACAATCCTGTCCTTTTTAATGATATAATACAAATGTAAAGAAGCATGCAGTTAATAAAACCAAATAGAAAATAAACCCTAATGGACAAAAAGAGGAATGGGGTGGTTCTATTTGTAGTCATGTGAGTGCGCAGCAGTTACCTGCCATTCAAAATTAAATGAAAATAGTCTAAAATAGATATGGAAGTTCACTAGAGCCCATAATAATAATCGCTGTAAGTTCTGATTTGTTCATTGGAGTCTATTTTAAATCAACACCTCATGCTCTGCAGGTAAACAACAATAATAACTTGGCAAAAAAAAAAAAAGGAGTTTGCTTTTAGTGCTTCTTGCCATGTATTTCTGCATTAATTTCTAGTTGGTGCAGTTTAAATTTTGTCAAAATTAAAGAACCTCTTCATGACACTGTGGGGAAACTGCTCTCTTATCTTGAAGCCAATCACAATTGGACAATATCAACCAGGGACTAATCGTAGCTTCCAGAAAAATAATTTTCTTTGTTGTTGGATACCTTCCTCTCCTGTGTCTTCTCTTCTTCCTGCCATACAGGTCAGAGGTTGTCATTAGGTTTGGATTTCAAAATTCTAGATTGTCTCTAAACTCTAACACTCCCAAGAGTTTGGTTTATATTCCCAAGCTCCTAGAATAGAATAAGCACCAGACCAGAGGTAAAGATTTAAGCAATACCAGTGTCGATACCTGTTGTAAATAAGTAGTTACTTGATGTATTTTTCAAAAAGTTTTCATTGGTGAATATAGTACTATGCCTTGTGCCTATATATACAGAGAATTATATAGGTGCTAGAATACATGTTGTGAAATTAGCCACAACTAAATATCTATAAAGTAGAATAAAATGCTAACCTGAGATGTCAACAAACTTGTTAGGTTTCAGGGTTTTTTAAGTGTTGCAGTTAATGGTAAGTATATAATTCAGGTGAGTTTGAGGTTTCACTGACTTTTTTCTTAGAATAATCGCTTTAGGGTGACCCAAAATATTGATAGTGATTTACCTGAACCAAGGATGTTTCAAACAAAGTACATGACCTCTTTCAAAGCAGTAACAGCATGCACAATTGTTTTTAAAATCCATGTCAGTGAGTTCTGCTGATTAGAGCTTTTACTTCCATAACCTGTGTTGGCACCAAGATTGAATGCCATCTGGTGTGATTTGCTCACCATTTGAAAAGGTCTTTGTATTTTAATGTCTTAAACTGAAAGAAAGGGCTAATATCACACTGGGTTAAAAACACTGATTACAAATAGCTGGTGATGTAAAGTCAGTCCTTTCTGCTACACTACTGTAATATTTCTTTCTTTTTTTTTTTTTAAAGATTTATTTATTTGACACAGAGAGAGAGACAGCTAGAGAGGAAACACAAGCAGGGGGAGTGGAAGAGGGAGAAGCAGGCTCCCGGCTGAGCAGGGAGCCCGATGCAGGGCTCGATCCCAGGACCCCGGGATCATGACCTGAGCCGAAGGCAGACGCTTAACGACTGAGCCACCCAGGCGCCCCTACACTACTGTAATATTTCTAATGATAAACAGCATTTAGCTTTTATTTGGCTTTCATCATGGATAGATAGTAGATGACCTGCCTCCCCGTCCCCCAGAATAAATACCAGTGTTCCCCTTTTACTCCCATTTCACAGTTGAGGCACTGAGCGAGGAGAATGAGACATGGCTGTGTTGCTGATTAGAGAGAGGAAACAAAGATTTGTGTGATTTTAATTAAGACCATTAATAAGGATTGCTTATAGGCTGTGATGGGATAGATGAGGCCAGATCACTCATTGTTTTCATCAAAAGAAAATAAAGAGATTAAAAGATGAGATGGTGTTTATCTGTGTTTCAGGCACCTAGGAAAAAACCAGCTTAGTACACAAGCACTGACACAGTCACTGAAATGGAAATGCACAAGGGGATTTGTCCAGATCTGTTTCAGGGAGAGCAGGGTCCTTTTCAGCGGTGTGGAGCAATGCTGTCCAATCAAACTTTCTGCAGTGTCGGAAATCTTCACTGTCCAGTTTGGTAGCCACTAGCCACCAGTGGCTTTTGAACACTCGAAATGTGGACAGTGTGACTGAGGACCTGATGTTTTCATTTTATTTTGTTTTAATTAATTTGAATTTAAATGCTGCGTGTGGCTGGGAGCTACCAAATTGGACAGTGCCAGTATAGAGTAAGAAGAAAAAGGTGGAGTAGTATCAAAACCAGCACCAGCATGTTGGACCAGATAAACTTCCATGTTCCTGAAACGTTTGGATCTTTAGGATCTTGAGTGAGTACTGGCACTAGATTAGGTGTGTGTGCCATGTAATAAGGTTGTTTGCATTTTCTTGTTTTGTAACTGCCCCTTTAACTACTCTAGAAACTACAGCTGCAGAGCACAAGCACTTGTGGAGGATCAGTCAAGTCCTGTCACCTATGCTCATCCTCTCAACTATCAGGCTTTTTTTTTTTTTAGTGGTGGGGAAGGGGCAGGAGGAGAGGGAGAGAGAGAATCTCTAGTAGGCTCCACGTCCAGCACAGAGCCGGACATGGGCCTCAGTGTCCGACCCCTACATCACCACCCGAGCCGAAACCAAGAGTCGGATGCTTAACCAACTAAGCCACCCAGGCGCCCCGATCTATAAGGCTTTTTGAAACGCAGGTGTTTGCTTCCACTTTGTCATGTTTCACTGGATCTTTGATTGCTTCTGCAGTTCTCCAGAGAAAAGATTGTAGTTAGTGACTCACAGCCCTTTGGTATCAAGAGCTGGTATTTACTATACTAGGTGGTTAATAGGTTTTATTATCTAGAGTTTGGGATTTACTGCCTTTGAGGCAACAGTTGTGCTAATCCTCATGTGAGTTTCCCTTCCTCCTCTCTAGGGTGACAATCAAAAGAATGAAAAGACACTGTCCTTTCATCTGAGCATTTGTGTGACAGGAGGCAGATAACCAGAATTATACGATGGCTTTCTTCATATTGATGAGGTTGTAGCAATTAAAGACAGAGATGGTGTATACTCCATTGATTTGCAACTTCTACAGAGTTTAAATTAATTGAGAGCAAGCAAAGAATAAAAAAACAGATAAATAGGTACACTCATACTCTGTATCTGTAAACCCACCCCATTCATTGTTGAAAATCCTGTGCCCATATTTGTCCGCAGTTATTACTATGAACTTGAAGCCGAATTTGAAAACTCTGGCACAAACTAGAGCCTGTCTTTCCCTGTAGTAAGAAGTGTCTGTATGTACACAAAGGAAATGTTGTTATGTGGAGAAACTGGATTATCAGAACCATTGCTTTGTTTTCCTCTGGGGATTAGTAGCATACTGTTTAGTGGGCCCACACTTCAGTGTCCTAATATCTGTTCTCATGTCTCCTAGAAGACTGTAACTACAGCTTCTATGATTACCACAAAGACACTACCTCTCGTCTTGAAAGCAGCAACTGCGACCATGCCTGCCTCTGTTGTGGGCCAGAGACCTACCATTGCTATGGTGACCGCCATCAACAGTCAGAAGGCTGTGCTCAGCACTGATGTGCAGAACACACCAGTCAACCTCCAGACGTCTAGTAAGGTCACTGGGCCTGGGGCAGAGGCTGTCCAAATTGTGGCAAAAAACACAGTCACTCTGGTAAGCCAGCAGCTGCTACTCATGTGTGCCCACATGAGAGGGTTCAGGATATGCATTTGTAGAGTATATCCATTTTATGCTCCTGCTGGATTTCTTAGTCTCCATCATTCAGCCATATCAAGTTTTCCTTGAGGCTGACAAGGGAATATGGCATTCCTACCATCTGCTCAAATAACTGTAGAGGTGTCCCTTGACACCAAGGACCAGAATCCATTCAGTGCATTATCTGCAGTCAAAGTATGGCTTGACCTGGGGAGGAATGTCCTTCGTAGTGGCATGCACACAGTTTTATGTAGCTCTCTCCATCCTATTTGCAGACCTGCCTGTGAAACTTGAGTGCTTACACTCTCTGCTTCTGTATTACTGATTTGGGGAAAACTCCCCTCTGGACTCCTTTAGTTCACTATCCCTTGAAATTGGCTGCACCCAGGAAGTACTAGAACAAGCTGAGGCACTTTAAAAATATTCAAGAAACTCACAAATTAACAGTGTCTGTGCCCAAGGACTATCAGAAAAAAAGATCCCTTGAAGAATTACTTGAACAAAAACTGTTCATTTCATGAGATTCTAGGGTAAAACCATTTAGAAACTGATGCTCTCTGAAGCTTGGGGGAAATATAACCAAATTGTGGTTTTAAAGTCCCTTCTTAAAATTGCAGCTAAGCGCTCTTGGTGGCTTTTGAATGATGACCAGTGATGAGTTAAATGAGATAGCAGTAAAGTGAAGCTTCAGCACTGACCAGGAATCTTGAGAGAAGCGACCAGTTATCTCAGCCAAACGCTGAGAGTTAGAAAATTCTCTACAGGAATAAAGCGATTCACTGCTAGATAAAGCGCTTATATTAGGAAAAAGCCCATTTGGCCAGGCAGCAAGTTTGATTTTACTTTGGATCCATTCTTGACTTTTAAAATACGTACGTGCAAGAGTTCTTGAATGTCAAAGGAAATTGGCTAAGATTACCGAGCCTGCTCTGTTGTACATTAGGCGTGTAAGGACACAGAAATGTGGTTGGTTCACTTTGTAGGGTAAAACGTGCAGGTGGGAAAAGGTTTTTTCAGGCAGTGTTAATTCAGATGGTTAATTCTACAGTGAAAACTTTTAGAAAATATTGCCTGACCCAGAGAATAGTGATGCTAAAAATACTGTAAGAACGCCTAGCTTTGATATTGAACAGTTATTGTCCTCTGTGGTTTATTTATTTTTCCCATTTTTTAGCAGGTTCAGGCAACACCTCCTCAGCCCATCAAAGTACCACAGTTTATCCCCCCTCCTCGACTCACTCCACGTCCAAACTTCCTTCCGCAGGTGAGTAAACCAGTGACAAGCCCAGGGATGGGTTAGGTGAGACAGAAGTCCTCATGGGCCCTTTTTAAGCAGCCTGAAGTGTGATTATCAGCTCAGCTTTGCTCAGATCTTACTTAGTTAGCTAAAGGTTCTGGATGCTGATTTCTATACTGGGAAGAAGCTTATTTGATCACCGGGGTTTCTTAGCAATGACCAAAGGCAGTAGCAGGGGCATGTGAGGAAAAGGAGAATTTAAGATAGCCCCATTTTAAACCTCATGATGTTAACTTACTGGAAGTTTAGCCAAACCTGCCTTCCAGTGGGGAAGGAATGCAATCACTACTTTTTTTTTTTTTTTCCTGTGTGCCAAAGAGAGTAGGGAAGGAAACAATAGCCAAACTAACCAGTAGAAACCAGAGAAATTTAGTTTAACTCTGGGAAGTAATGGTATTAAGCATAATTTTTAAACACAAAGCCTTGCCTATAAAAGTTTAGACTAGGGGTCTGCACAGGGAACTTTCTATCTAGGCCCAAGCAGCTCTGCTTGCCCATATTGCCCTGGGAGAATTCTTCTAGCAGTTGGACTAAACTCATCATTCTCATTGCAGGATGTCAGGATTGCCCCAGTCTGGGTTTTGACGGGACTTGACTTGCCTCGTAGAAAGGCTAGGAGTTCCCATCAGAAGCCCCATGTTGTAGGCAAAGAGAGAAGAGTAAGGAATTTTGTGGACATAGGTAATTTCCAAATTGCCTGTGCACTAGGTTTGGGCATTGAGAACATGAGATAAGGTGATTTCAATCATTTATGCAGTAGATCCTTATACCTTGGGTATCAAAAAAGCCAGTTTTCAAGACAGTTCTCTGCCCTCAGAGGGCTTCAGATCTATGTACAGGCAATCACAGTGTCCATTATGGGAAGTACCGGGTAGTCTGACCACACATGGGAGGGACACCCAGCTCATTCTTAAGAGTATTCTAGAAAGTTTCCTAGAAGAGTTGACATTCAGTCTGAGACCTAAAATCCTAGTAAAGTTAGCCTGACAAAGTTTTGGGGGAAGAATAAAAATGTCCCTGGCAGAGGGTAGAGCCCATATGCAAATCCAGTATGGAGAGATGCATGTAAGCCTAAGGAACCACAAGGCAATTTGGCGTAGCTGATCATACTGGGCCATGTAACTGACTCAGGCTAGGGTAAGAGGTGAGGCTGGAGAAGCCCATTGTGCCACAGGCCGTGGAGCCTTCTAGACTATGTGGGAATTTGGGCCTTATTCCAGGAACAACGGGGATCCATGAAAACATTTCCAAACAAATACTTGAAATGATCAGATTTTTGTTTTAGAAAATTCCCTCTTGTCATTGTGTGGAGAATAGATTGGAGATGATCAAGACTGTGGGCAAGAAGAATAGTTAGGACATCATCAACAATAATAGCTAATGTTTGAAGACTCCTGCTCTGTGCCGTTTACTCTGCTAGGCACCTTCTGTGGGTTATCTATTTTAATCCCCACAACAGCCCTGTGAAAGTAGTTATTATTTTTTTTTTAGGTAGGTTCCGGAACCTAGGGCTTAGTCGCTGTTTGGGTCATGACCCATGAGTAGGTTGTGTGAAATCAATTTAGTGGATTGTGACCAGAGTTTTTAAATAAAATGAACAAAACAGAATATGAAACATTAGAGTACATTGCACATATGTAATGTCTCATGAAGCTTTTGTCTTACAGAGATTTAGGTCCATGTCTATATGCATGTACTGGTTACAGTAAGAAATGTATTCCCTACTGTGTGTCTGCAGCAGCCAACACAGGGTCATCTTAAGTTCAGCTAAATATTCAGACTCATGGGACTGTCAAGGCCCACACTTCAACACAAGACAGAAACCAGAGCTTACCAGCAAGACAGCGTCAGACATTTTCTGTCAGCCTGTAGGGCAGTCTCCACAGCTGTTCAGTGATAGCTCAGGTGCAGGGAAACGGTGGGAGAGCCATCCTGGCACAGAAGCCTTACGCCACACAGGAACCAGTGTATCCTGTAACAGTTCCATAGCCATGGCTTTCAAGGTCCCCACACTGGACATGCCCAGTTACAGAAGTCAGCCCCACTTCATGAAGCCCAAAGCATGGTGTCCCATCAAGTATTTATAATTCTCCCCATTCAGATTCAACTTAGCCGTAAGGGATCATTTTTACCATAAGCAATGTTGCCTGGTAACATAGTTGACATTCTTACCCTTAATCAGGTTTCCAGGGGAACAGAGCTGGAGAGTTAACTGCAGGTCAAACTTTCATGCATAAGGGGAAAAGATTTTGCCCACAGGGTCACTGTACAGAAAGTTTGAAAAATGCTGGCTTAAATCAAGTATGTTACCTGAGGTTAGCCAGCTAGTAAGGGGTAGGAACCAGGATTTGAACCTAGGCACGGCTGACCCCATGTTTTTAATCATAATTTTTTATCACTGTTCCAGTAAGCCAAACAGGTAGAGCGATGGCAGGATGAGGATAGAAAGTAGCCATATTTGAGGATTTAGGAAGTAGAGGTACAGTAGGAAACATCAAGAATGGTTCTGAAGTTTATTTAGCAGGAAAAGACCATTTCCTGAGGGGATGATAATAGGAGGAAGGAGAGAGTTGGAGGAAGAAATAGGTGAGTTTTAGACATGTTGATTTTTTATTGTTGTTGTTTTTAAAGATTTTATTTTTAAGTAATCTCTACACCCAACATGGGGCTCAAACTCACAACGCCAAGATCAAGAGTCGCACATTCCACTGACTGAGCCAGCCAGGAGCCCCTAGACATGTTGAATTTTAATTTCTTGGGAGACTTCCAAGTAGAGATATATGACAGGCAGTTGAGTATATGGTTCTGAAGTTCAAGAAATGTCTGGTCCTGAGATACCAAGTATGGACGTCTTCAGTACATAGATGGTAATTGAATCCATGGGATGGGTGAGAACTCCCAGGAAGAGTGAGGAGCTTGGTAAGAAAAGAGGTTCCAGGACAAACTCCATTTAGGATTGGGCAGAGGAAGAGGAAGCCCACAAAGGTGACTTAGAGGAGCAGCCAAGAACGGGGAGTTAGAGAGCAAGGAGTCACCCTGAATCGAAGCCACGGACGTGAAGAAATTTAGAATGTGAATTAAGACCAGCGGCAGCATTATTACCATACTGGGCACAATTCCTGGGTGAGACCAGCCTCTGGATTAGGCATTTGACCTCAGCCCGAAGAGGCAGCATGGTATGGGAGAGGGAGCTAAGGTTTGGATTCAGAAGAACCACTTTGGAGGGTAACATTTGGACCCTCTTAAGAGCTGATGAGTCTTTTATAAGATTATATATCCTGACAACCATAGAATTAATAACACCAAAATGAATATTAATAAATATTGGTACTAAATACCATTTCACATACAAAGTGTGAAAAACCTGGCAATGTCTTAGACTTACAAGACTTGAGAAGTTTCTTTAAGTAATATAATTATCCTCTCTTTCCCCATAGGTTCGACCCAAGCCTGTGGCCCAGAATAACATTCCTATTGCCCCAGCACCTCCTCCCATGCTTGCAGCTCCTCAACTTATCCAGAGGCCCGTCATGCTGACCAAGTTCACCCCCACGACCCTCCCTACCTCCCAGAATTCCATCCACCCCGTCCGTGTCGTCAATGGGCAGACTGCAACCATAGCCAAAACGTTCCCCATGGCCCAGCTCACCAGCATTGTGATAGCTACTCCAGGGACCAGACTCGCTGGACCTCAGACTGTACAGCTTAGCAAGCCAAGCCTTGAAAAACAGGTACAGGCAGAGTATGCATCTGCTTCGGGCAATAGTAGCCTTGCCGTTGAGGCTGGGCTGGCTCTGAGAATGCTTTATCTCAGCACCATTGTCAGTAACCTGTTGCTTATCATGTGATCATTTATCCACAGTGCAAAAGGGCTAATCTTACTGAAGAAAGTTGGGTTGCTTTCCCCACCATCCCCTTCCAGGTGGATTCAGATTCCTGTGGGAGTGAGCTCCCCCTGCTGGCTCTGAGCTGAAATTCACAGATGGGTTCTGCTGCTCTCCGGAAGCACAGACATATATAATACACAGAAAATGGCATATTAGTAAGGGCCCAATAAGAATCCAGATGAGGATATGACTGTGAAAGTCAGGAAGACTAAACAAAACGGGGAAAGGAATTTCATTTGACAGATTTCCCCTGGTTATTACAGATAATGAAGAACCAAATGAAAAAAATTAAAATTTCTAAAAAGCATTTTTTTTTAACTCTAGAGAATACAGCCGTTTTAGCCCAAATATGAAGTCTCTCATGTATATTTCTAAAGTCAGATTTTCTCTTAAAAACACAAAGCTAGAGAAATACAAGTAACCTCCAAAAATACTTAAGGGTTCTGTGACAGAAGACTTCTAAAAACAAGAAAAAGAATTTATAGGCAGTTAACCATATTCTATTTAAAGAAAGACCAATGATGAGAAAGAAGAATTTTGCGAAGAAAAGCATCCTCTTTCAAGAAAGTTGCTTTAAAAAGTCATTGACCTATTTCTAATTGCTCAGGCTTGAGTTCTCATTCATCTGAAAATAGTCTCTGGTGATCCTGAATCTTCTGCTTCTGGATGGCTGACCATGATTCAGAGAGGCTGGCCAGATGGTGGGAATGAGGGGCTTCCTGCTGCCTTGGCCTTCTTGAACAGAGGATCCTTATGCATCAAGCACCCGGCTTTCTAACCAGACAGCTCATAAATGCAGCAGACCTGAGTAAAGCAGGCTGGAAGTAACATGTAGACTTTTATTTTTCAATTTTCAGTGGGAGCCCAAGTAAAGAGATATCCCACTTTTATTCTTAATTTCTCTTTGAAATAGTAAGACAAGCATGATAAAATTGACAATTTGGCCTTGGTGTCAACAAGACCAAAGAAGGTGGAAGAGACTGTGGTAAGCCAGAAAGTAATATATGCCATCTCAAGGAAGCAACTACTTCTTGACGATAACCAATTTTTTTTATCATATGGAAACTTTTCCTTTAAGAAAGGCCAAAAATCCAGAGATTTTGAGAAATCACCTAGTTTTAAAAATACTAATAACTGTTTAAACACCATGTAGGCAAAAAATAGCAATTGCAGGGCAGCTTCACCTCTGGATAAATGGTTTAGAATGTCTGACAAAGACCAAACCAAGCTAAAAGCTTACTTGTTTTTGTTTGTTTGTTTCCCTTTTTTTTTTCACTTGGGTGAAATTCATACCACATAAAATTAACCATGTTGAAATGAAGAATTCACTGGCATTTAGTACATTTACAATGTTGTGCAACCACCACCTCTGTCTAGTTCCAAAACATTTTCATTACTCCAAAATAAAACCCAGTATCTCTTAAGTAATTACTCCATTTGCTCTTCTCCCTGCCTTTGGCAGCCACAAATCTACTTTTTGTATCTATAGATTTACCTATTCTGGATATTTCATATAGATGGAATCATATAATGTGTTGCCTTTTGTGTCTGGCTTCTTTTAATTAGCATGGTATTTTCCAGATTCATCCACATCCTAACATGTATCAGTACTTCAGTTCTTTTTAATGGCTGAATAATAGTCCACTGTATATATACCACAACTTGTTTATCCATTCATCCACTGATGGACATTTGGGCTATTTTTACCTTTTGGCTATTGGGAATAATGCTGCTATGAATATTCAAGTACAAATATTTGTTTGAATATCTGTTTTCTAGTCCCTGGGGGTCTATACCTAAGTGGAATTGCTGGATCATGTTAACAGTTCCATGTTTAACTTTTTAAGGAACTGCCAAACTGTTTCCAGAGCAGCTGAATCCTTTTCCATTCCCACCAGCAATGTATGAGCATGCCATTTTCTCTGCATCCTTGGTAATACTTATTATTATTTTCTTTTTAAAAATTATAGCTATCCAGGGCACCTGGGTGGCTCAGTCGTTAAGCATCTGCCTTCAGTTCAGGTCATGATCCCAGGGTCCTGGGATCGAGCCCTGCGTCGGGCTCCCTGCTCCACGGGAAGCCTGCTTCTCTCTCTGTCCCACTCCCCCTGCTTGTGTTCCCTCTCTCACTGTGTCTCTCTCTGTCAAATAAATAAAATCTTAAAAAAAAATTATAGCCATCCTAGTGGGTATGAAGTGGTATTGCATTGTGGTTTTGATTCGCATTTCATTAATTATTAAAATTGTTGGACATCTTGTGCTTGTTGGCCATTTGTATATTTTCTTTAGAGAAACATCCAAGTTCTTTGCCAATTTCTGTGTTAGGTTGTTTGTCTTTTTGTTGTTCAGTTGTAAGGGTTCTTTGTATAATCTGAATACTAGACTCTTATCAGATTTGCCGGTATTTTTTTCCTCCCATTCTGTAGGTTGTCTTTTCACTTTTTTTTTTTCTGGAAGCCTGTACTTTCCTCATTATATGGGTAGTGTCCTTTGATACACAAAACTATTTAATTTTTTTTTTTAAGATTTTATTTATTTTTTTTAATTTTTTGATAGAGACACAGCGAGAGAGGGAACACAAGCAGGGGGAGTAGGAGAGGGAGAAGCAGGCTTCCTGCCAAGCAGGGAGCCCGATGCGGGGCCCGATCCCAGGACCCCGAGATCATGACCTGAGCCGAAGGCAGACGCCCAACGACTGAGCCACCCAGCCGCCCCCAAAACTATTTAATTTTGATGAAGTCCAATTTATCTTTTTTCTTTTGTTGCTTGTGGTTTTTATGTCACATCTAGGAATCTGTGGTCACATCTAAGAAAAATGAAGATTTACTCTTAATTTTTCTTCTAAGGAGTTGTATGGCTTTAGCTTTTATATTTAGGTTAGTAGTTCATTTTGACTTAATTTTTGTACAGAATGTGAGATAAGGGCCCAGTTTCATTCTTTTGCATGTGGATATCCATTTCTTCTGGCACCGTTTTGTTGAAGAGACTTTCCCCATTTGAATGCTCATGGCACTGTTATTGAAAACCAGTTGGCCATTGATGTATGGATTTATTTCTGGACTCTCAATCCTGTTCTTTTGGTCTGTAGATCTATCTTTATGCCAGGACCAACCAGACTCTCCTAATTACTGTGATTTTGTAGTAAGTTTTGAAACTGGGACGTGTGAGTCCTCCAACGTTTTTCTTTTTCAATATTGTTTTGGCTATTCATGGTTCCTTGCAATTCCTACATGAATTTGAGAATTGGTTTTTTCAATTCTTCTGCCAAGAAAAGGCTGTTGGAATTTTAATAGAAATTAAAGATATTGAATCTGTAGGTTGCTTTGCATAGCATTGTTAACAATATTAAGTCTTCCAGTTCTTGATCATGGATTTCTTTCCATTTATTTAGGTTTTCTTTATTTCTTTCAGCAGTGGTTTATGGTTTGCAGTGCACAAGTCTTTTATCTCCATAGTTAAATTTATTCCTAGGTATTTTATTCTTTGGGGTGCTATTATAAATGTCATTGTTTTCTTAATTTCCTATTACAATTGTTCATTACTGTTGATAGCAATACAGCTGATTTTTGTGTTCATCTTGTACCTTGCAACTTTGCTGAGTTTCTTATTAGCTCTAGTAATTGTTTGTGGATTCTTTGGGATTTCTATATGTAAGATCACATCCTATGCAAATAGAGATAGGTTTAGATTGTCCTTTCCAATTTGGATGCCTCTTACGTCTTTTCTTGCCTAATTGCTCTGACTAGAACTTCCACCACAATGTTGAATAGCACTGATGGAAGTGGACATACTTCTCTTGTTTCCAATCTCAGAGGAAAAGCTTTCAGTCTTTTGCCATTGAGTATGATGTTAGCTGTGGTTTCTCATTCATGCCCTTTATAAAGCTGAGGAAGTTTCCTTCTATTCCTAGCTTTCTGAGTGTTTTATCATGAATGAGTGTTCAGTTGCTTTTTCTGCATTAATTGAGATGGTCGTGTGTTGGGGGTTGCCCTCATTTATTAATGTGGTATATTACACTCCTTTCATTCCTGGGATAAGTTCTTCTTTGTCATGGTGTACATCCTTTTATTTTATTTTTTTAAGAATTTATTTACTTAGTAGAGAGCGTGCAAGCGCAGGGGAGAGGGGCAGGGGGAGGGGCAGAAGGAGAGGGAGAGGAAGAGGGAAAGAATCCCAAGCAGACTCCACATTGATTGCAGAGCCCGACATGGGGCTCAATCTCACGATCCCGAGGTCATGACTAGAACAGAAACCAAGAATTGGGTGCTCAACTGACTGAGCCACCCAGCTGCCACTGTATCATCCTTTTAATATGCCGTGAGATTCAGTTTGCTAGTATTTTATTAAGAATTTTTCTCTAGGGCGCCTGGGTGGCTCAGTTGGTTAGACGACTGCCTTCGGCTCAGGTCATGATCCTGGAGTCCCTGGATCGAGTCCCGCATCGGGCTCCCTGCTCGGCGGGGAGTCTGCTTCTCCCTCTCCCACTCCCCGTTTGTGTTCCCTCTCTCGCTGTGTCTTTCTCTGTCAGGTAAATAAATAAAATCTTTAAAAAAAAAAAAAAAAAGAATTTTCCTCTATATTCATAAGGGACATTGGTCTGTATTTTCTATTTTGGGGGTGTCTTTTGCTTTGGTATCAAGGTAATACTTGTATAGAACAAGTTATAGAACAAGGCTGTATAGAACAAGTTAGAAAGTGTTAATCCTTTAAATGTTTGGTAGGATTCACCAGTGAAGCTGTCTGGTTCTGGACTTTTTGGGGAGGATTTTAATTACTGTTTCAATTTCTTTAGCTGTTACAGGTCTGTTAAGATTCTCCATTTCTTCTTGAGTCAGTTTTGGTAA